TATATGTATACATTGTAGTGTCCGCCAGGACGTGTGGAAAGGATGATGCAGTTATTCGGCAAACCACCGTTTATTACTGAACAGTAATAGGCCATAACCACGCCAAAGCAACCCACAAACAAGAACTGTAACTCCAACTGTGCGCTCCTGCTCTCTCCTCCAGCTCGTTCCTACACACACCAGCATGCAGCGGCCCTAATCCCCGTCACACTCGCACCCCGCACCCCTACCTATACTCATTCAATCCCAAACATGCCATTAACTCACAGAACATTGACATTATAACAGAACATTTACTGCAGGGTCGCTACAATACACATATATATACACACATTCACACACACACACACACGCACACACACACACACACACACACACATATACATACATATATATATACTGTGTATTGTTTTTCGACACTACCTTGTTCTCTATAGCTGATGTAACGTGAAGTACCTCCTATGTGGGATCAATAAAGTTCTTATCTTAGCCATCTGAGAAGATCAAATACATTGTTTTTGGTGCCTAACGCCCTCTAGTGGGGCGTGAGGGCATTACCTTTCCTACCAGAAACCCATTCAATGACAGTATGTCTGACGCGCACTTGCTTGTAAGTTGATAAAAACTGCCTTGTTTTTACTTTTAGGTGTCTTGGTCATGCTTATAATTTGTTTATTTCAAAATGTAGAGAACATTTTGGTAGACAACTGTTTTTTGTTTGTTTTTACCTGTAAATGCTCCAATAGAGTGTGCCAGGGCTGACGTCAAAATCCGGAAGTTTAGCATCGCGCTGGTTCCTGGAAGAGAAAGTGAATGTGATTTTTGCATTGTGTTTTGGATTCATAGCTGTCAAGTCTCCCGTTTTGGCCGGGAAACTACCGTATTTTACCCCTCTTTCCCGCCGTCCTCCTGTATTAGTATTTTCCCGTAAATCTCCCGTATTAATATAATTTAAAAAAAACAAAACATTCCTCTGCCTCTCCAAACTGAACTCTGTCACTAGCCTCGCGAGAACTGCCACCTGCAGTAGCCTGGGTGGCAGTTGTCGTGAGGTTAGTGTCGACAGCGGGTCTGGTTGACAAGTGGTTATTTTAGATTTCCTGTACACCCAGGGACGGGTTTTGCTATGGGCAATGTGGGTGACCGCTCAGGGCGCAATCTATGTGAGGGCGCACGAGCGTCCTCCAAAAAAAAAAACCTTTTTTTTCTAGACTACTGCTCATTTCCATTACCCGTGCACTTTTCGTCAGAGGCAGGCAGAGCTGAGCTGCTTCTGTAGTTAGCGTAAGTTATCAATCTTCTTCATCAAACCGACTACTTATCCTATCTCTATATATTAATATAATCCTATCATCACCTCAGATATACTCAGAACATGGTAATTATGCTCGTCATTAATCAGCCGCCAGTTTAGCTAGTGCTAGCTAGTTTATTCTGCTCGATGTAACGTTAGCCTTCCAGCCATCAGTAGCCCACTGTTGTGTCTCGTCAAGTATGTTACTTTTATTCATGTTCATGTTTAGTGTTTCATATTTTATGTCATGTGTTAGTTTAGTTTCATGTTTAGTCTTTTGTTGTCATGAGCACTTTATGTTAAGTTAAAGTCACTCATGTCCAGTCTCGTCGTGCACTTCCTGTTTTATTTTGTACTCACCTTTTCCCTCTCGTTTCAGACCCTGACTTCCTCCCTTTGTGTANCATGTTTAGTCTTTTGTTGTCATGAGCACTTTATGTTAAGTTAAAGTCACTCATGTCCAGTCTCGTCGTGCACTTCCTGTTTTATTTTGTACTCACCTTTTCCCTCTCGTTTCAGACCCTGACTTCCTCCCTTTGTGTAATTTTCCCGCCATTGTGATTGTCTACCCCGCCCCTGATTGGTTTCACCTGTGTTCCCCTATCTCATGTATAAATAGCAGAGATGGGGACTCGAGTTATTGTGACTTGGACTCGAGTTGACTCGAGTCACTGTTTTGATGACTTGTGACTTGATTTGACAAAAAATAAAAGACTTGAGACTTGACTCGGACTTGGAAGTTAAAGACTCGGGACTTGACTTGACTTGAGACACGATGACTTGAGTGACTTGAGTGACTTGAGTGTTATTCACATCATGTTTTTGGTTAGAATATAAGATTAATAAATTAATTTAAAAAATAATGTTGATTACCCGGTAGGAGCGCAGGCTGAGAATGGCGTTGTTATGATTGGATCACTACCCTGTCAATCAGTCATGCCCTCTCTACGTACCTTACGTGTTTATTGGAGAAACACGCCCTCTTATATCAGATAGGCATCAACATGTCAGCGGGAGGGGTACCAAGAGTCATCGTCTTTGGCCATTAGGCTTGTTCGAGATGAACTGCGCCTCGCCTGAAAAGTAGATGAGAGCAGGCGGCCTCAGCGGGGGGCAGTGACAAAAAGCTGCGGTGAAGTCGGACAGTTTCCCGACAGTTTCCAGCAGCCTTCTCCTGTAAATCCTGTAACCAGCATGCATTGTGCG